ACGTTTGAAGGGCAAAATTCAAAACATTGGCAATCCCACTAACCCGAAATGGTCTTTGCAACCATACAGAATGTTGTATGTTATAAATAATCACACAAGTACTAGAAAAAAAGCTCGTAGTTTTGATTAAAACACGCATTTGTGCCATGCATTTGTGCTACTTTTGCTTTGACACATCTAATGTAAAAAAAAAACAAGACAGTGGACAGTGTTAGTGTGACAGCGAAAACTAATCGAGTGTGAAAAGAAAAGCAGACACTGAAAACAGACCACAAATAAAGTCAAGTGTTGTTTATGCACGCAGGTCTGTAAAACTGATAACATCAAACACCATTTCAGTGCATCGAACAGCAACTTTAACTGCAATTATCCAGAACAGTGCTTCAAACTTTATTTTAAAAAAATGTAATAAATAAAAACCCAACTAGAGAGATCTGTATTTTTATTTTGTGTGTGCCCAGTAGCCACTGAGATATAATAATACACACAGATCTAGCCTATGTATATTACTCATCTCACTTGCACAAAAACAGATTCAGTACAGAGTAAAACAGTGAAATACAAACTATATAACTTCTTTATATTAAAAAAATCAAGCAAGCCCAGCTCAGATGAGAAGAGGTAATGCAACACATTACTTTCCATAAAAAGTAACTAAGTAATGTAATTAGTTACTTTTTAAGGAAGTAATGCAATATTGTAATGCATTACTTTTAAAATTAACTTTCCCTAACACTGCTCATAAGGTGCTCAGCTCAATTCCTCTTACACGATGTGAGCCACGAGCATCAACGATTTCCACACGATTTCTCACGATGGGGAAAAAAAACACTTACGAGCTTCTACGACAGACAAAAAACACACCATGTATGTCCAGCTTAACTATACAATACTGATTCTACTAATACTGAGAGGAAAGAAAGCTATTAAAAAATCAGCATATTTAAATTGTGACAAAAACTTTCAACAACAATAATAATTTTAATAATAATAATAATAATAATAGCTGGGTTGTTTTTTTCAATCCGTTTTTAAATTAAAGCAATCACCCTTAAAGCAATTTTGACGGAGGGGAAAACTCAGGCTAGTTTTGATCTAGTTTTAAATAGAAATCAGGCTTGTTTTGTTTTGTGGACCATTTGTGGACCATAACGGGCATTTTTTTAAAAGATCTCTGTTGTTCTCTGATGCTGCATTTTAACGTAAAATGGCTATGCACATAGACAATATTCACTTACTGACCTTAGATCATTGTAGAAATGAAAGTATTAGATTAAATCATTGATCGTTATAAAAGTATTAAAATCACACGGTATGATTATGCATGTTTAAGTATATTTAGAAACCAGATTAAAATAAAATTCACACATCACATCTAGTACTACCTTATAACGGTGTAAGACAAATATATCATGTGCACTTTTAATATATGTTTTGATTGACAGTCTTTTTTCCCATTGGTGACACACAGAAATGCTTTGCAGAAACACAAAGGTCTGAATTAAACATTTTAAGATTTGCAACTATTTATGGCATAGCACAATATACCATATTCATGTCACAGCACTTGCATATCATTGCTCTTTTGTTGATTTTGATTGCTTCCATTGTTCTTATTTGGATAAAAGCATCTGCTAAATAACTAAATGTAAATTACATTTATGGAACTTATTTTTCTAATCCTATTCTAACGCTTGCCGTCTGTGCCTGAAGCCAGGTGATATATAATGCGAGAGAGATAAATGAAACACAAGCGTATCCTTCAACCGTGATGACGCTCTACGGTTTATCTCAGGAGTGACTGTAATGTCTGGCATTGAGTAAGACCTTTGCCAATGACACTATTCAAGGCAATAAACATTCCCTGCTCCTCCAGCGTCAGCAGAATCAGCTGCGGCCGAAGAAAACACAAACGGTTTCCAGGAAGACTGCAATGATACTGACCTTACAGATGTCAATTTAATTTCTTCTCAGATGTGAAATACTTCTATTTCTGAGGTTATATACAGAATTATACTTTTAGTTCTCAAGAAATTATATTTTGAATCAAGAAATTACAGCCTTCTTTTCAGAAAAAAATTGTGCTGGGCAACGATTAATCGCGATTAATCGCATCCAATGCACTTTTAATATATGTTTTGATTGACAGTCTTTTTTCCCATTGGTGACACACAGAAATGCTTTGCAGAAACACAAAGGTCTGAATTAAACATTTTAAGATTTGCAACTATTTATGGCATAGCACAATATACCATATTCATGTCACAGCACTTGCATATCATTGCTCTTTTGTTGATTTTGATTGCTTCCATTGTTCTTATTTGGATAAAAGCATCTGCTAAATAACTAAATGTAAATTACATTTATGGAACTTATTTTTCTAATCCTATTCTAACGCTTGCCGTCTGTGCCTGAAGCCAGGTGATATATAATGCGAGAGAGATAAATGAAACACAAGCGTATCCTTCAACCGTGATGACGCTCTACGGTTTATCTCAGGAGTGACTGTAATGTCTGGCATTGAGTAAGACCTTTGCCAATGACACTATTCAAGGCAATAAACATTCCCTGCTCCTCCAGCGTCAGCAGAATCAGCTGCGGCCGAAGAAAACACAAACGGTTTCCAGGAAGACTGCAATGATACTGACCTTACAGATGTCAATTTAATTTCTTCTCAGATGTGAAATACTTATATTTCTGAGGTTATATACATAATTATACTTTTAGTTCTCAAGAAATTATATTTTGAATCAAGAAATTACAGCCTTCTTTTCAGAAAAAATTTGTGCTGGGCAACGATTAATCGCGATTAATCGCATCCAAAATAAACGTTTTTGTTTATATAACATATGTGACCCTGGAGCACAAAACCAGTCTTAAGTAGCGCAGGTATATTTGTAGCAATAGCTAACAATACATTGTATGGGTCAAAATTATTTTCCAAAAATCATTAGGATATTAAGTAAATATCATGTTCCATGAAGATATTTTGTAAATTTCCTACCGTAATTTTATCAAAACTTAATTTTTGATTAGTCATATGCATAGCAAAGAACTTCATTTGGACAACTTTAAAGAAGATTTTCTCAGTATTTAGATTTTTTTGCACCCTCAGATTCCAGATTTTCAAATA